AGCCCTGGGACCTGCACCCTAATTAGTGACATGAGCTGGTCCCAGCGAGGTTGTCTGCAGTCCCCATTAGGACTGGGAGGTGGCCCAGGGGGTCTTTCTGACCCCCTTGGCCTCTCTACCTGGATTATTTGAAGAAGTCGTCTGTTCCCCTGCAGCTGGGGCCTCAGGACACAGTCTATTTTGGTGAGTTTGTATCTGAGTGTTGATATAATTAGCAGAGCACTGAAATGCTGTGCAGCCAATAGGGAAAATGAGAAACCTCGTGGAGCAGGGTAACTTCTCTGGAAGCTTTTGTTCCTGAGGGTTGCTGTCAAACATGGTAATGTGCTTGTAAAGGTCGCCTGACAGACAGCTCTGAGCAGCATCAGCAGTGCAAGCAAAGGAGACATGAGGATTTCCTGGGGAGAAGCCTTTCGAGGCACTACGTAAGGTTTCTCCTCTTTCCTTTGGCAAGTACAATGGAACAGGCTTAAAGTAAAACGTGTGGCTTTTAAAAAAAGTGCGTGCACTATAAAATTCCTCTGTTGGCTCTCACTGTAACCAAAGCATACCTTTTATATTTCCTCTCCTTCTCTTCCAGGAGGCTTCTTACAGTACTCTCCGTACTAATAGCTAAAGTGTTTTTAATTTCTCCTTCCTTGCAGCAGCAAGGAGACATTTATGCTGCCGTGCATCTTCCTGAGGAGAGGAGGAGGGAGGTGGGTGATGGCCTTGCTGTTGCCTCCTTTCTTAGAGACGTTTCAGCATCAGTTCTCAGCAAGGATAGTTGTGCAGTTTGAGCGTGGTAGAAGCCTGGATCGTAATGAGTGTTATGAGGACTTTCTGATCACATTTGGTTAAGTGCGGCATTGCCTTCAGTTATGGGATTTGGTTTTGCTAATTTTTTATAGGAGACAAGAAACACATACATTGCAGAGTGTGAAAGACACTGCCTGCCTCAGTCACTGAGCTGACCTGGTGACCAGAACCAGTAGATGCCTGTTGCCGTGAATGGATTCAGGGTAGATTAAGTTTTTTGACCTTTTACAGAGCATGTCCAAACAGTGATATATTATATTAAGCTTTGTAACTTGCCAAATCCCAGGCATATTTTCACAAGGACAGCAAAAGCAGTTCTCTTGCCCCAGGGTAGTGTGCTTCTGTAGAACTTCCAAACAAAGGAAACCAAAAGCCATTCACAGATACCTTGTTCTTCAAAACAGCCTACCCAAGTTTTGCTGAAACTTGTAGCCAAATTGGCTAGAGGTTGAGTGCCAGCGTGGAAAGCTGTTGTTTTGAACAGTTAGATCGGTAACAGCCGTAGCAACAGAAGAGCTCAGGTCCTGGAACGGAAAGTGTCAGGACATCCTGACCATAGGTGTCATCTGCCCTCCAGTTTTGCCAGGGCAACCACTATGAGCTCTTGTTTCTGAAAACACTCCCAGGTGGAAAATGCTGTCTTGGTGTTACCTGGCTTCACTCAGAAGGAGTGGACAACTTAAATGCCCGAGGAGTGGTCTCCTGGACTTTGTGGGTAAATTGTTTCACAAGATGTCGCGTGCAGCTTGCAGTTCAGTCGGGCTGGTTACCAGGCTTCCCCCTTTGCCAGCACATCCCCATTCTTCAGTGCATAGTGTCAGGTAGGAGCATGCTGCAAGGCACCTGGACCCATGTCCCAACATTAAATCATTTTAGCCAATGCACATGAGCAGCCTCATTGAATCAAGACAAAAGGAAGTGGGGTTTGAGTCAAAGTGATTCCAGCTACTTAGAATATTACATGTTTATTGCTCAGTTACTGCTCTTCAGGGCAGTTCTGCACATTGGCTTTGGGGAGATGACATCGCAAAGAAAATAATTTAATGTAAAT